GGTACTGCGTTGGCGTCGGCCTCCCACACCTTCACCCTTCACTCGGGGTGATGTCACTGAGGTGTTGATCGACAGGATCCGCGCAGTTCGTCTTCAGCTTAGGAAGAGTTTCGGCTCGAACTTTCCTGTTCTGCATCTGCACTCTGACAGAGGCGGAGAGTTCTCCTCTGGCCTTCTGCGAGCCTACTGTCGTGCACGAGGCATCCGCCAGACCTTCACGCTTCCGGACTCTCCACAGCAAAATGGGATTGCTGAGCGCCCATTGGCATGGTCATGGACGTCGCTCGTACGTCCATGATGCATGCGGCTGCCCCCCATTTTCTGTGGCCGTTTGGGGTTCGGTACGCGGCGCATGAGATCAACCTTCAGCCCACGGTCTCCATGCCGGAGACCTCCCCAGTTTTGCTGTGGATGGGGAAGGTTGGCGATGCGTCTGCGTTCCGTGTCTGGGGATCTCGGGCGTTTGTCCGCGGCTTGTCTGCGGACAAGCTGTCCCCTCGTGCTGCTCCCTGCGTCTTCCCTGGCTTCCCCCCTGACGCACCAGGGTGGCAGTTCTACCACCCCACCTCTCACAGTGTTCTGTCCTCCCAGGACGTCACGTTTGATGAGTCGGTCCCCTACTACTGTCTCTTCCCCTACCGCACTCTGTCCCTCCCCCCCGCCATTGCTCTTCCTTGTGCCAGGTCCCCCCCGGTAGACCCCCTTCCCTCTCAAGGTCCTGCCCCTTCAGGTGTGTCCCAGGTAGACGCAGTCGAGCCTGTGGAGGTCGCTGGTGACTTTAGTGCTGCTAAGGGTGCTGAGCCTGGGGGTGCTGACTCTGGGGATGGTGAGCGTGTGGGTGCTACGCCTGGGGGGTACTGAGCCTGGGGATGCTGAGTCTGGGGGTGTTGAGTCTAGGGGTGCTGAGTCTGGGGGTGCTGAGTCTGGGGGTGCTGAGTCTGGGGGTGCTATGACTGGGGGTGCTGAGCCAAGGGGTGCTGAGTCTGGGGGTGCTGAGCCAGGGGGTGCTACGAGTGGGGGTGCTGAGCCTGGGGATGCTACGCCTGGAGGTGCTGAGCCTGGGGGTGCGGAGCCTGAGGGAGCTAGGCCTGCTCGTGTGGCGTTTGGCGGTGCTGGGCCTGGAGGTTCTCCGGGTGCTCCGTCTCGACGGGAGCCACTCTCTCCACAGGATGTGCGTGAGTGGTTTGCCTGGCGCTGGAGGCGTGCTTCTGGAGCTTGAGGTTTCTTCGACTACGGAGGGTGCTGGTGACACGGGTCTTGGAGGTGTTCGTACTGGGAGTACTGGAGCTGCTGGGCCTGCGGGTACTACTGGAGTTGGAGCCACTGCTTCTTCTCGTGGTCCGACTAGAGCTGGAGCTGCTGAGGGTGTTGGCGCTATCGGTACTGGAGGCGGTCCTGCTGGGGGTACTACTGGTGCTGTTGGAGGTCCTCAAGCTACTCGAGCTGCTGGGGGTGCTGGAGCTGTTCCCTGCTGTGTCTGGAGTCGCTGCGCGGCCTCGGCCGTACTTCATTCCGCTCCTTGAGCAGGTTCTTGGTCTCCCGCCTTCTACTGGTCCTCCTCCTCCCTTAGAGTGTCCACACCCTGTCCCGTCACAGTTACAGTTTCAGCCGGCCTCCCCACTGCCTGCCTCCTTCTCCCTTCACTGGTCCTACTGGACGTCTTGCTGAGCGTCGTGAGCCTGCGTCTCGTCCTGCGTCGCCTGTCCGTGCTGCTCGCGCTAGTGGTCGTGGTTCGCGTCCGCATCCTCCCCCTGTGCCCGGCACGCACCGGATGTCTCTCTGTCCGTCCACTGCTCCTCTGCGTGCCCCTTTGCCTTCTCCTCCTGAGTCCTCTCTTCCAGCTCTTGCTGACCCAGAGTCGGACTCCCTTCGTGCTGCCAGTCCGACTGTCACGCGTCTCCTTGCTACTGTTGTCACCGACCCTTCCTTGAGTCCACTGCTGCGTCTGCCCTAGTTGCTGAGCCTCGTCGACTTTGCTACTCGCTGTCGTCTAGACTACGCTGCTAGTCTTGTTTCTGCGTCTGATTCTGTTTGTCCTCCGTCCGTCGGGGGTGAGTGTGCCCTTGGCAGGGACGTCTTTGAGGACACGCAGGAGGAGTTCCAGTGTTTGGCTGCTGCTTCACCTCATCTCATGTCCGTACTGCTTACCCCTGAGAGAGACCCGGATGCACTTGACATCCCGACTCCGCGCTCTTACGCGGAGGCGATAGAGGGTCCCTGCACCTCTCAATGACAGGCAGCCATGGACGCAGAGATGGCTTCCTGGAAGTCCACAGGCACCTACGTTGACAAGGTTCCACCGCCTGGGGCGAACATCGTCAGTGGCATGTGGATTTTCAGGGTGAAGCGGCCGCCGGGTTCTCAGCCTGTCTTCAAGGCGCGTTACGTGGCTCGTGGCTTCAGTCAGCGGCAGGGAGTTGACTACTTTCAGAACTTCTCTCCCACCCTAAAAATGACCACTCTTCGGGTACTGCTGCACGTTGCTGCTCACCGTGACTACGAGCTACACTTTCTTGACTTCAGCACTGCTTTCTTGCAGGGCAGCCTGCACAAGGAGATCTGGCTGCGCCGCCCACTTGGCTTCACTGGGACTTTTCCTCCTGGCACCTAGTGGAGCCTCCGGCGGCCAGTCTACGGTCTCCGCCAGGCACCACGTGAGTGGCACGACACACTGAGGACTACGCTTGCGGCTCTTGGGTTTGCTCCCTCTACTGCCGGCCCGTCGATGTTTCTGCGCACCGACACTTCTTTGCCGCCGTTCTACATCCTCGTGTACGTCGACGACTTGGTCATTGCCACAGCTGACAGTGCTGGACTCGCCCACGTAAAGTCCGAGCTGCAGAAGAGACACACGTGCACAGATCTGGGTGAACTGCGTAGCTATCTTGGCTTGCAGATCACCCGGGATAGAGCACGCCGCACCATTACCCTGACTCAGTCACACATGGTGCAGCAGATCCTTCAGCGCTTCCGCTTCACGTACTCCTCGCCTCAGGCCACTCCTCTGCCTACTCGCCACTCGCTCTCAGCTCTGCCTTCGGATGAGTCCGTAGAGTCGAGTGGCCCGTACCCAGAGCTTGTTGGCTGCCTCATGTACCTGATGACCTGCACACGACCTGACCTTGCATACCCTCTTAGCATTCTCGCACGCTATGTTGCTCGTGGGAGATACAGACCGGAGCACATGGCTGCAGCGAAGAGGGTGTTGCGCTACTTGTGTAGTACGTCGGCCATGGGGCTTGTGCTTGGAGGGCAGAGTCCAGTGGTCCTCACTGGGCACGCAGACGCTTCTTGGGCTGACGACTTGGCTACGCAGCGGTCGTCACAGGGTTACACCTTCAGCCTTGGTTCCGGCTCAGTTTCGTGGCGGGCTACCCGCTCGTCTTCTGTTCTCGGCTCCAGTTGTGAGGCTGAGATCTACGCAGGGGCCATGGCTGCACAGGAGCTACGCTGGCTCACCTACCTGCTGACTGACCTCGGAGAGCCGCCTCGTTCTCCTCCAGTGCTGTACGTAGACAACAAGGCCATGCTGGCCTTGTGTCGCGAGCAGAGACTGGAGCACAGAACGAAGCACATTCCTCTTCGCTACTTCCTTGCTCGTGAGCTACAGTAGTGTGGTCAGCTGCGCCTTGCGTACGTGGCCTCTGAGGCCAACACTGCTGATATCTTCACGAAGGCACTTGCGCCTTGTGATCATCAGCGTTTCTGTACTTAGCTCGGTCTTGTGCCTACCTTGCCTCACTTGCTCACCCCTTGACCTTGTTTGTATTGTTACATATATATATACACCTGCTCTTGCTTTTTTAGCCTTATATATATATGTAATCCTGAATGTGAACTGGCCTTGTGGCCTTGAACTTGTGCTCGGAATGTGTGGTGACGTTGTGATCCACCCTGAGCTTGCTTTGCTTTGCTTGACTGGTCTTGTGACCCCTTGTCCTCACCCACGTTGCCTATGGGGGTGTGTCAGATTTATATGACTTAGCTGCTGTAGGCTATAGTGGGGTAGCACATATGGGGTACAGCTTTCTAGGGTTTGTACTTGTACCCAATTTTTCCTAGTCTTTTCATCCTCGTTCAATTTCACAGCCGCCATCCGGCCCCGCCCAGCAGCAGCTGCCGCGGAGCCCCCTGCCGCAGTCGCGGCCCCGCCGTGCGGCTGCTGCCGTGTTGCCCCCCCCCCCTCTCCCTGCCGCTGTCGCGGCCCCGCCCTGCAGCTGTCGCGACCCTGCCGTCGCCGCCGTTGTGCGCCTACCCTGCTCGCCCGGCGAGCGACTGCCCTTCCCGCCACTGGTGAGCACTTGCCATACCCCCGCTTCCCGCGCGCATGCCTTACTAGCGCGCTGCCGCGCTAGCCTGCCTACCTCGCCTGCCTGCCAGCCGAGCCGCACCGCCAAGCTGAGCCGAGCCGCTCAGCGGCGCCGAGCCGCCCGGCCGAGCCATGTCGTGCTGCCGGGCTGTGCAGCCCTGCTCTACTGAGCCACACGCCCTGCCCGTGCTGCTACTGCTGTTGCTGCTGCTACTGCTGCTGCTACTGCTACTACTGCTACTGCTGCTCCTGGCGGCCGGATGCAGCTCCAGCGACGTCCACGTTAGTCCCTCACGCCCCAGCAGCTTCGTGAGTGTTACGCTAGTTGGGGTTGTAGGGGTGGTCGTGGTGGGAGTCCCCCTGGGGCGGGTCGTTCGGGAGCTTCTTGTAGTGACGAGGTGCAGCTTCAGCAGCGTCCGCTCGCGGTCCTTTCGCCCCAGCAGCTTCGTGAGTGGTACACCCAGAGTACAGGGTCACGGAGTACTGCTCGCTGCCCGTACGTCATTCGCACTGGTGCTCGGGCTGGTCAGCCTTGCGGGACGATTGGTCACACAGAGTCGCGCTGCTTCGCCAGTCTGAGTGACGCCTGGCGTACAGAGTTTGGCGACGATGCTAAGCTCCCCTCCTGGCTGGAGCTGCTTAGGCAGAGGGTAGATATCTTTGCTCTTCACTATGAACTATCCTCACTGCCATGTATGCATTGCCAACTAATGCTGAGGGTGCCTGTCACCTGTGTGTGCCGCCTGCCCCAGGTATAGAGTCTGCTGCTCTAGGTGCTGGTGAGGCTGCTGCTCTAGGCGCTAGTGAGTCCACTGCTCCAGGTGCTGGTGAGTCTGCTCTCTCTGGTACTACGCCTGCTGCGGCCTTGCACACCTTCACGCTTGACTCACGAGCTTCCCGCTCCTTCTATCGCGATTGCACCACACTCACGCCGCTCAGGCGGCCAGTGGCAGTCTCTCTGGCTGACCCCTCTGGGGGTCCGGTCCTTGCACACTCCTCCACGGATCTGCCGCGTCCGGCGGTCCCGTCTGGCTCTCTGTCTGGCCTCCACCTCCCCTCGTTCTCCACGAACTCGGTGAGTGGAGCTGACCTTCAGGACGCGTGGGTTGACCAGTTCACTCCTGGAGGTCAGCGGGTGACCCACTGTTCGTGCACTCAGACGGGCCGGCACCTGGCCACGTTCACCCGTCAGCCTGGGTCGAGCCTGTACACACTGAGTACTGTGTCTCCTGCGGTTGCCGAGTCTGGTCAGGTAGCTGCGTCGGGTCAGGTGTTTGCTGCAGCGTCCAAGTCTCGTCCTGAGACTGCCCCCTGCTCGTTTCGCCTCCTGTCTCACAAGATTCTCCTCTGGCACCACCGCCTTGGTCACCCCTCCCTGCCTCGTCTCCGAGGCATGGCCTCCCGTGTCCTTGCCACTGGTCTTCCCCGGTCTCTCCCTCCCCTTCCCCCGGGGCCTGCCCCTATCTGCGTTCCTTGCGTTGAGGGACGGCAGCGCGCTGCTCCTCACTCCTCCGAGTTCCCTCTGACGGAGGCTCCCTTGCAGACGCTTCACATGGACGTGTGGGGCCCAGCCCGCGTCCATGGCCAAGGTCACGAGCGCTACTTTATGCTGGTCGTTGACGAGTACTCGCGTTACACCACATTCTTCCCCTTGCGCCGCAAGGGTGAGGTCACTGAGGTGCTGAAAGACTGGATCCGCGCTGCCCGTCGTCAGCTCAGCGAGAGTTTCGGCTCGGACCTTCCTGTTCTGCGTCTGCACTCCGACAAAGGTGGAGAGTTTTCCTCCGACCTTTTGCGAGCCTTCTGTCGTGCCGAGGGCATCCGCCAGACGTTCACGCTTCCGGCCTCTCCGCAGAAAAATGGGATTGCTGAGCGCCACATTGGCATGGTCACGGATGTCGCTCATACGTTCATGATCCATGCGGCTGCTCCCCATTTTCTGTGGCCGTTCGCGGTTGAGTACGCGGCGCATCAGCTCAACCTCCTGCCCCGGGTCTCCATGCCGGAGACCACACCTAGTCTGCGGTGGACGGGGAAGGTTGGCGATGGGTCTGCGTTCCGTGTCTGGGGATCTCGAGCTTTCGTCCGCGACTTGTCTGCGGACAAGCTGTCCCCCCGTGCTGTTCCCTGCGTTTTCCTTGGCTTCCCCCCTGACGCGCCTGGTTGGCAGTTTACCATCCCACCTCGCGTCGTGTTGTGTCCTCTCAGGACGTCACGTTTGATGAGTCGGTTCCTTACTACCGTCTCTTCCCCTACCGCACTGCCCCCCTCCCCCCCCCGGCCGCTCTTCCTCGCGCCAGTTCCTCCCCCAGTAGGCCCCCTCCCCCCTTAGGGTCGTGCCCCCTCTGGTGTGTCCCAGGTAGACGCAGTCGAGCCTGTCGAGGCAGCTATTGACTATGGTGCTGCTAGGGGTGCTGAGCCTGCGGGTGCCGGGTCTGGGGGTGCTGAGCTTGAGCGTGCGGAGCTTGGGGGTGCTGAGTCAGGGGGTGCTGAGTGTGGGTGTGCTGTGCTTGGGGTTGCTGAGTCCGGGGTTGCGGAGCATTAGGGTGCTGGGCCTGCTTGTGTGGAGTCTGGCAGTGCTGAGCTTGGAGGTCCTTCGGGTGCTTGGTCCCGGCGGCGAATGGTGTGCTTGGTGCTGGAGCCGTGCTGCTGGAGCTGGTGTTTCTACGTGCGCTGGAGGCCCTGCTGCTGCTGGAGGTCCTGCCGCTGCTGGAGCTGCTGGGGGTTCTGGAGCCACTGGTCGTGGAGGTGCTCGTACTAGAGGTACTGGAGCTGCTGGGCCTGGTGGTGCTGTTGGAGCCGGAGCTGCTGGAGGTGCTAGGGCTGGCGGTGCTGCTGGGGCAGGTGCTGCTGGAGGTACTAGAGCTGGAGCTGCTAGCGCTGCTGGGGCTTCTGGTGGTCCTGCTCGAGCTGGAGCTGCTGGGAATGCTGGAGCTGGAGGTGCTGCTAAAGCCGGTGCTCTTGTGGGTGCTGAAGTTGGCGATTCTGGTGCTGTTGGAGGTGCTGCTGGAGATGGTGGTACTGCTTGAGTTGGAGCTGCCACTGGGGGTGCTGGTTCTGACCCTGCTGGTTCTGGAGGCGCTGCGCGGCCGTGGCCGTACTACGTTCCGCTCCTTCAGCAGGTTCTTGGTCTTTCGCCTTCTATTGGTCCTGCTCCTTCCTTAGAGTGTCCACCGCCTGTCCAGTCGCAGTGAAAGTTACTGCTCGCCTCCCCACTGACTGCTCCTTCTCCTTACATTGTTCTGACCGGAGGTCTTACTGAGTGTCGTGAGCCTGCGTCTCGTCCTGCGTCGCCTGTTCGTGCTGCTAGCACTAGTCGTCGTGGTTCGCGTCAGCGTCCTCCTCCTGTCCCTGGCACGCACCTGATGGCTCTGCGCCCTTCCACTACTCCAGAGCGTGTCCCTCTACCGTCTCCTCTTGGGTCCTCTCTTCCTGCCCTTTCTCACCCAAAGTCTGACTCCCTTCGTGCTGCTAGTCCTACTGTCACGCGTATACTGGCCAGTGCTGTCACTTACCCTTTCTTTGAGTCCTCTGCTGCGTCTGCCTTAGTTGCTGAGCTTGTCGACTTTGCTGCTCACTGTCGTCTCGACTGCTCCGCTAGTCATGTTGCTGAGTCTGAGTCTGTCTGTCCTTCGTCCGTCGGGGGTGAGTGTGCTCTTAGCATGGACGTCTTTGAGGACAAGCAGGTGGACTTTGAGTGCTTTGCAGCCACTGTACCTCATCTTGTGTCCATGCTGATTGCACCTGAGGGAGACCCGGATGCACCAGACATCCCGACCCCGCGCTCTTACGCAGAGGCGATAGAGCGTCCCTACTCCTCTCAGTGGTAGTCAACCATGGACGCAGAGATGGCATCCTAGAAGTCCACAGGCACGTTCGTCGATGAGGTTCCCTCTCTTGGGGCGAACATCGTCAGTGGCATGTGGATTTTCACGGTGAAGTGGCCGCCGGGTTCTCCGCCTGTCTTCAAGGCACCTTACGTTGCTCGAGGCTTCAGTCAGCGAGAGGGAGTTGAATTCTTCCAGACCTTCTCCCCGACCCTGAAGATGACCACTCTTCGGATACTGCTGCTCTTCGCTGCTGAGCGTGACTACGAGCTTCACTCTCTTGACTTCAGCATTGCTTTCGTACAGGGCAGCGTGCACGAGGAGATATGGCTGCGCTGCCCACCTGGCTTCACTGCGTTGTTTCCTCCTGGTACCCTGTGGAGCCTCCGGCGGCAAGTCTACGGTCTCCACCAGGAGCCCCGTGAGTGGCACGACACACTAAGGACTACACTTGCGGCTCTTGGGTTTGCTCTTTCTACTACTGACCCGTCGCTCATTCTGCGCACCGTTCTACATCCCCGTGTACGTCGACGACTTGGTCTTTGCTACTGCTGACACTGCTGGACTCGCCCACGTGAAGTCCGAGCTGTAGAAGAGACACACGTGCACAGACCTGGGTGAATTGCGCAGCTATCTTGGCTTGCAGATCACCCGGGACAGAGCACAGCGCACCATTACCTTGACTCAGTCACATATGGTGCAGCAGGTCCTTAAGCGCTTCAACTTCACGTACTCCTCGCCTTAGGCCACTCCTCTGTCAACTCGCCACTCGCTCTCAGCTCTGCCTTCGGATGAGTCCGTAGTGTCAAACATTATATGTTTATGTGGTTCTAGGCTGTAGTGGGTTACACCTTAGGGGGTACACCAGATTAGGGTTTCATATTTGTACTCTTGTTCCTGTTAGTCACACCATTCTCGTTTCTCATTCTGACATACTCTTGTTCCTGTTAGTCACACCATTCTCGTTTCTCATTCTGACATGGTATTACGAGCCTAGGTTTCACCTAGGACCGAAACGTTAGGGCCCACCGTTTCCGCTAGCCGCGCCCTAGTGCGCCGCCTTTTCCTAGCGCCCTCGTGCGCCTCGTTCCTCGTGTCGCCCTTTAAGGCCCCTCACGGCCCCTCGCGTCGCCCCTTAAGGCCTCTCACGGCCCCTCCCTTACGACCCCGTGCTAGCCCCGAACGGCCCCGTGCGGCCCCCGCGCTAGCCTCCCCCGGCCCCTTACGGCCCCGCGCTAGCCTCCTACGGCCCCGAACGGCCCCGCGCTAGCCCCGAACGGCCCCTTGCGGCCCCCGCGCTAGCCTCTCACGGCCCCTTAAGGCCCCGCGCTAGCCTCTCACGGCCCCTGATTGGCCCCGCACTAGCCCCGAACGGCCCCCGCGCTCGCCTCGTACGGCCCCTCCCCCGCGCTCGCCTCGAACGGCCCCCCGCGCTCGCCCCTCTACGACCGAGCCGCGCAGCGCGACCCCAGCTGAACCGCGCGACCCGAGCCGAACCGCGCGACCCGACCGAGCCGCGCCGCCCTAGCCGAGCCGCGCCGCCCTAGCCGAGCCGCGCCGTCCTAGCCGAGCTGCGCCCTCCTTACCTGAGCAGCAGGGCCAGTACTGGACTGAACTGCTCCTCCTGCTACTGCTACTGCTGCTGCTACTTCAGCTATGGCTAGCCCTAAAGTTCTCTCGTTCGATACTGAGGGCCGCCCGATTAAGTTTGAGATCTGGCTCGATGATCTGCACCTGTTCCTCCAGCTCACTGCCAGGGAGGATGTCTCGCTGTACGATCATGCACTAGGCAAAGCTGCTGCCCCTGCTACTGATGCTGACGCCACTACCCGCTCCCAGTGGCAGACTCGTGACGCCCACGCTCGCTTCGCTATTCGCAACTCCCTGCCTGTAGATGAGCGCGAGCACTTCGGCCAGCACAGGACTGCCCAGGCACTGTACACTGCTGTAGTTGCGCGCTACTCCTCCCCAGCCTCTGCTGCGCTAGGCCGTCTCTCGCTTCCCTACCTGTTCCCTGACCTGTCCGCCTTCCAGACAGTCGCTGACCTCATCACGCACCTCCGCACTAGTGAGGCCCGCTTCCGTGCCGCTATGCCTGCTGAGTTTCTTGCCTCCAACCCTCCCCCGCTCTGGCTCACTCTCTACCACCTAGTTACCCGCCTCCCTGACACTCTGCGCTCAGTCAGGGACAGCTTCCTAGCCCGCTGCCCCACTGAGCTCACCATTGCCACCCTCGAGAAGGAACTCCTTGCAGCTGAGAAGAGTATTGTAGCTGTAGGTGCCTCTCGTGGTGACCCCCGCACCCCTTTCTTCGAGGGGTGTTCCCCCTCCCCCCTGCTCCCCTCTGTCGCCTCTGCTGCTGCTGTCGACCTCCTTGGTGCTGAGCAGGTCGGGTCTGCGTCCGCTCCCAGCGGGCGCCGCAGCGGCAGGGGCAGGGGAGGCAAGGGCGGTGGGGGTGATGGCGGGGGAGGCGGTGGTGGGGGTGGTGGCGGCGGTGGGGGCGGTGGCGGGGCTGGAGGGGCTAGTGGCAGCGGTGGGGGTGGTGGAAGCAGCGGCGGCGGTGGTGGCCGGGGTGGGGGCGGTGGTGGTGGCGGCGGAGGACGTGGCGGCGGCAGGGGCGGTGGTGGTCGTGGTGGCGGCGGCGGTGGTGGTCGTGGAGGCTCTGGCACTGGCCAGAGCACGCAGCACCCTCAGTCCTCCCAGGAGCTTCGTGAGTGGTACTTACAGCACGGGGGTGGGGGGGGTAGCCTTAGCTGCACGTACGTCATCCGCACTGGTCGCCGCAAGGGACAGACGTGCGGGAGGGCGCACACTGCGCAGCGCTGCTTCTCTCGCCTAGATGACGCTTGGCGTGCTCAGTTTCCTGACGCTCCTGAGCTCCCTCAGTGGGCTGATCTCCTCATGAAGGATATCGATATCTATGCTCTTGATTTTGACGTTATTCTCAAAGCCATGTATGCATTGACTATTAGTGGAGAGGAGGACCAGTACCTGTGTGTTCCGCCTGACCCAGGCATCCGCACGAGTGAGGCTGCCGCCCTAGGTGCTTGCGTGTCTGCTGCCCCAGGTGCTGGTGAGGCTACTGCTCTAGGTGCTTGTGTGTCCGCCACCCCAGGTACTACTGAGTCCACTGAGGCACTGCACACCTTCACTCTAGACTCAGGCGCTTCGCGCTGTTTCTTTCGTGACCGCACTGCTCTTGAGCCCCTTGCTCGACCAGTCGCTGTCTCGCTCGCTGACCCCTCTGGGGGTCCGGTCATTGCGACCTCCTCCACTGTCCTTCCTTGTCCTGCTGTCCCGTCGGGCACACTGTCAGGTCTCCACCTCCCCTCGTTCTCTACGAACTTGGTGGCGGGTTGTGCGCTTCAGGATGGGGGTGTTCACCAGTTCACCCCTTCCTACGAGCGCGTGACACACTGCACGTGTGCTCGGACGGGCCGTCACCTGGCTACCTTCACTCGGCAGCCGGGGTCGGACCTGTACACAGTGACCACTGAGTCCCTTCAGGTAGCGGCGTCTGCGTCCGCGTCAGGTCAGCTGTCAGCCCCCTGCTCGTGTCGCTCTCTGGCGCACAAGACAGTCCTCTGGCACCATCGACTTGGTCACCCGTCAGTGCAGCGCCTTCGGGGCATGCACGCCCGGTACCTTGTCTCTGGTCTTCCTCGGGTACTCCCTCCCCTCCCACCCTCCCTTGCTCCTCCTTGTCTTCCCTGTGTCGAGGGGCGGCAGCGCGCTGCCCCTCACTCCTCCTCGTTCCCCCCGACGACTGCTCCTTTGCAGACGCTCCACATGGACGTGTGGGGCCCAGCCCGCGTCCGTGGTCAGGGCCAGGAGAGGTACTTCTTGATCGTCGTTGACGACTACTCGCGCTACACCACGGTCTTCCCCTTGCGCACCAAGGGTGAAGTCCCTGATGTTCTGATCCCTTAGATCAGCAGAGCACGTCTTCAGCTGCGAGAGCGTTTTCGCTCGGAGTTTCCTGTCCTGCGCTTGCACTCTGACAGAGGTGGTGAGTTCTCCTCCGACCTCTTGGCAGCCTATTGTGCCGAGCACGGCATTCGCCAGTCGTTCACGCTTCCGGCCTCTCCACAGCAGAATGGAGTTGCTGAGCGCCGCATTGACTTGGTCATGGAGGTCGCTCGTACCTCCTTAGTCCACGCGGTTGCCCCCCACTTTCTGTGGCCGTTTGCGGTCCGGTACGCTGCGCATCAGCTCAACCTCTGGCCCCGTGTCTCCGCTCCGGAGACCTCGCCCACACTGCTGTGGACGGGGGAGGTTGGCGATGCGTCACGCTTCCGTGTCTGGGGATCCCGAGATTTTGTTCGCGACACGTCTGCGGACAAGCTCTCCTCCCGCACTGCTCCGTGTGTCTTTCTTGGCTTTGTCCCGGATGCGTCTGGCTGGCAGTTTTACCACCCCGCCTCGCACCGCGTCTTCCCCTCTCAGGACGTCACTTTTGACGAGTTCGTGCCCTTCTACCGCCTCTTCCCCTACTGCACTGCCCCGCTCCCTCCCCCGCCTCTCTTCCTCGCGCCAGGTGCTGCAGTGGTAGACCCCCTCCCCCCTCAGGGTGCCGCTCCTTCAGGTGTCTCCCAGGTAGACCCAGTTGAGCCTGCCGAGGTAGCTGTCGACTCGCGTCCGGCTAGGGGTTCTGAGCCTGAGCGTGCGGAGCCTGAGCGTGCGGAACCTGGGGGTGCTGAGTCCGGGGGTACTGAGCGTGGGGGTGCTGAGTCTGGGGGTGCTGAGCCTGGGGTTGCCGAGTCTGGGGGTGCTGAGCCTGGGGTTACTGAGTCTGGGGGTGCTGAGCCTGGAGTTGCTGAGTCTGGGGGTACTGCAGCTGACTGTGAGACGCGTGGAGGAGCTCCCTCTTTGCAGCAGCTGCGTGAGTGGTACTCGCGGTACTGCAGCCTTCGGCGGGGTGCGTCTCGGGCTCGCGGTGCTGCTGGAGTTGGTGCTCGTGTTTCCCCGCCGCGGCGGGAGCCGCCCTCTTCCCCACAGCTCCG